AGACTTCTAATGACTAATTAGGTTAAATAACAACATTGAAACAGATCTAGAACCATACCTTTGAATTCCTTGTTGATCTTGTAGTCTTGGAGCTTCTAGAGTCACAATTGTCACTCCTCTAATGGCTTACAAACACCAACTAGCAAGGAGGATGATTTGAGAGATAGGAGAGGGAAGGAATTCGGCCAGAGTATCTTTACTTTTAGATGGGTATCGAATTCTCTATCCCATAGGGTCTATTTATACTTGTAGACTCCTTAAGGGTTACAGTCTAAACCCTAATTTGATAATCTTCTCTTAAGGCTATCCAAATCCTTTCCTTAGATAAGTCATGGACGATTTTGAAGCTATCCTAGCTTCTAGAATTCATCCCTTGTATTTCTATAAGGATTTATAGTCTAAAGCTTAACTATCAAACAATTGACAGTTTATACCCTCTTATTTAATTAATCTCCTTAAGTCACCAAATTAATACTAATTAATCTATGACTTATATTAATCAAATAAATATATATTATTCTTTATATTATTCTCATAATATACTAATAATATTTACTCTCTCTTAATAAATCATCCTATCAAGTTCCTACTCCTATTACTATTCGCAGTCGTATTCGTATTCGCAGTCATATTCGTATTCGCAGTTGTATTCGTATTCGTTCTGTTCCTAATTATATTTTTGTTATCCATTCTGTTCCTAGTTATAGATGTGTTATTCGTTCTGTTTCTAGTTGTAGTTTCGTTATTCGTTCTGTTCCTAATTATAGTTTCGTATTCGTTCTATTCCTAGTTATAGTTTCGTCTTCGTATTCGTATTCGTAATTAGTTATAATTGGAAATTAGTATAAATTATTCGTGGATTATGAAACATAGTTTAGATTAGAACATTTTATCAATAAATCTATGATTAGTTTGAAAGCTAAATTCGTAATTCGAACTATTTGATAAACACAGTTATTGATATTAGAACATACAGAATGAAAACGATTAAACTGAAAACAATAAACTTGAGTACAAGATTTCCTTGTACTTTTGCTTGTATTCCCCTCCTGAAAATAGTGAAAACAGTTGAAAAAGGGTAGGGGTATGAACTCACCGGACGAGAAATGTGGCGATTTCGGATGCTAAGTGTTGGTCAGGGGCTTGTAAACACACGAGGTTCCTAAGTATAATGTAAAGATACACATTTGTATCTAATTAGGACCTAAATTGATTATTTGGTAAGGACAATTGTTTCTAATCGCGAAAACACCCCGATATAAGTGCTTGGAGGGACCCGGGTGGCGTTTAGGGACACATATAGTTAGGATAATGAGTTGGGACATCATAGGAACACTCCTTAAGGAGTTTACGGCCACATGACCCTCTACCCATGAGTTTACGGCCGTAAACTCATGGTGGAGTGAGTTAAGGGCAAAAATGGCTTCAAATCACTTAAGGGAATTTTCTAGTTTTGGATTTAAAGGCTTGGAATGGATTTAAATCATCAAAATGATTAATTTATGGGAGTTTACAACCTAGCATAGGCTCCTGGCTATAAACTCCTTAATTCTCATGAAAATGGTGTTAAATGATGCTAAAACAAATCACATGTGATTGGTAAAATCGTTCCAAGGCCTTATATGCATTTGTTTGAAGTTTTGAAAGGGTTTTTGGAGTTTATGGCCATGGAGTATGTTCTATGGCCGTAAACTCTCATATATGGGATTTTGTTATGTTTAAAGCCCTAAAACTATTTTTGGTTGGTCCTTTGATTTATTCCAAGGATTTTGGTGGTGTTGGATGGCTTTCTAACACCTTAGAAGTGAGTTTACACCCAAGTTTAAGGAGTTTACAGCCCAAGCACATGCCTTGGCCATAAACTCACACAAACCCCTCAAAAATTATGTTTCAAGTGTCCAAATGCTAATACCAATATTCTATAATTCATATCTAAGCCTTGTTTGTGATTTGGAAGGGTTTAAGGTCAAGAAAACCCTATATATATGAGTTTATAGCCCAAGCACATGCCTTGGCCGTAAACTCCTTCAAATCCATCAAAAACCAAGTTTTAAATGTTTTAAGTCCATATCTTGAAGTCATTTAGCCATATCTAGGTCCCAAAATTGTCTAGGAGGGGTTTAAGGGCTCAAAACCCTTCAAACTTGGTGTTTACGGCCTAGGCAGCCTCCTGGGCTGTAAAATCATATATTGTGTCCCATTCCATGTTTAAATCTCGCATTTGGAAGCCAAAAATGCTTTAGATTAAGGTTAGGAAGGTACCTTAGGGATTTGAGGCCTTAAAATTGAGTTTTGGACCCTTAAACTTGGATTTTAGGAGAGAGGTTAGAGAGAGAGTAAAGAGAGAAGGGAAAAGCTTCAAATGAAAGGTTTAACACGTTTATATAGTTCCCAAAACTTGAACACGGTGGAATTCTACCCGATACCAGCCCTAAACGAGGCTTTAGGTTGCACCCGATTAAGTTTTCGTCACCCGGCGGGAATGTTTCTAACTTTTTGAAATGAATACTTTTTGGGTTAATTTCATGAGTTCCAAGAGGTTTGGACACTCATTCAATTATAATAAAAATATAAATTTAATTAGTTTAACCCAAAGCGAGAACAAAACGAATCGACTAACGGCGAAATCTCACGGGTAGAACAAGTTTTCGACGATGAAAAATTTCGGGTTGTTACACAAGTTCCTTGATCACATTATTGATGATGCTCCTAATGCTATATCCTACCGCTTCCTCCACTCTCGCACACAGCCAAATACTTAGGTTTCCCCATTCACATCTGAACCAAGACAGACCACACCACCCAAGATGCCCTCTTCTGCGTCCCCCTCCTGTCGCTGACACACCTCCACAACCCATGCCCCCCACCCGACCACCTTGTGTCATCCAATGGCCACTCGGTCATCTCGTGGTATTGTCAAGAAGGTTAACAAATTAAACCTTCATGTGGATTCTATTTCACCTCTTCCCAAATCTTATTCTCAGGCTTTCTCGAACCCCAACCGGTGTAATGCCATGACAGAGGAATATAAAGCACTTATTTCAAATGGAACTTGGACCTTAGTCTCGAGACCGTCTCATGCTAATGTTATTAATTGTATTTGGCTATTTCAAAAGAAATTTCATGCAGATGGCTCCTTATCCAGGTACAAATCCCGACTTGTTGCTAATGGAAAAGCCCAGCGCCCTGGCATTGATTGTGATCAGAACTTTAGCCTGGTTGTTAAACCGGCCACCATCCGTACAATACTTTCTCTTGCAGTTTCTCAAAACTGGCCCATACGTCAGTTAGATGTCAAAAATGCTTTCTTGCACGGCCACCTTCAGGAATCAGTTTACATGCAACAACCCCCAGGTTTCTTATCCAGTTTGGATTCATTCATAGTCAATGTGATTCTTCATTATTTATTTATCGACAGGGTTCTCACATGGCTTATTTGCTCTTATATGTCGATGATATTGTTCTTACAACCACCTCACCCGAGTTACTTCAACAGATCATGACTACCCTAGCTGGCAAATTCTCCATGACTGACTTTGGACCTCTTAATTATTTTCTTGGTATTTCTGTGACTCGTGATCAAACGGGTATGTTCTTGTCTCAAAAGAAATATGCCTTAGAGATTCTTGAGAAGGCTCACATGCTGAACTATAAACCTGTGCGCACTCCAGCCGATGCCTCTTCCAAGTTACCTGCTTCCAGACCCCCCGTCTCTGACCCGACCCTATACCGCAGTCTTGCTGGGGCCCTGCAGTACCTTACATTCACGAGACCTGACATCAGTTATGCTGTTCAGCAGATTTGTCTCTTTATGCATGATCCTCGTGAGCCTCATCTCAATGCGCTTAAACGAATTCTTCGCTACATTCATGGTACATCCTCTTTCAGTCTTCAGTTGTATGCATCACCTTCTCAACAACTAGTTGCCTATTCTGATGCGGATTGGGCCGAGTGTCCGGATTCCCGGCGGTCTACTTCTGGTTTCTGTATTTTCTTAGGTCAGAATTGGTATCTTGGTCCTCTAAACGTTAGTCCACTGTCTCTCGTTCAAGTGCTGAGGCGGAATATCGTGGGGTTGCAAATGTCGTGGCAGAAAATTCTTGGATTCGTAACCTACTTAGTGAGCTTCATCTCCCCCCTGATAAAGCCACCGTGACCACAGTTTATATGTCAAGCAATCCGGTTCAACATCAACGCACTAAACACATAGAGATTGATATTCACGTTGTTCGTGATCAAGTGGCCACCGGGCAGATTCGTGTTTTACATGTTCCGTCTTCATATCAATATGCTGATATCTTCACGAAGGGCCTCCCAACACCATTGTTTCTTGATTTTCGGTCCAGTTTGAACATTCAGTCTCATGAACCTGTTTAAACTGCGGGGGGATGTTAGCTATATTATTATTGTTTGTATTTAGGCCCAAAATATTAGTATTATAGCCCATAATGTATTTATCTTGTATATATATTGATTAATGAGAATGAGCCGAGGAATGGGAAAATATACACAATTACAGAAAGCTGTAGAAATGATTTTCTTCCGCCTATGCCAACCTTGGAAATTCTTGAGGATTGAATGCCTTTTCATTTTAGCTATTTTGCTTCAAGGAAATTTTGATGATGACCAAATACAAAGATGAAAAATTGCTAGAGTTTACCAAAAAAGTGTATCGAAAGTCCAAATTCTGAATTTTTATCATTCTTGATCAGAGTGCTATTGATCTATTGATTTATGTGTACAGGCACGAGTTTAAGAAACTTGGAGGGTATATTGTGAATATGGAAAAGCTAACTAATGATGTAATGTAAATTAATTTAGTCTCTTTCATGACCCTAGAAGAGTCTGTTTTTGATATATATATATATATATATATATATATATATATATATATATATATAACTCATTCTTAGCGATTGTATATAATATTGGTTTCTATGATTTTGAATTTTTGAAAAATGGAAACAGGTTAGTGATGAAAAAGGAGGGTAACGGAGAAGATGATTTGTTTCCACAAGAGCAAACTTCGATACATGTTGTCAGAAGTCAAGGATAAGGTTCTTTATCTTTAATTTCTTACAAATTCATAAAGTTTTATAATAGCTATCACAAACATATTTTTACAAGAAATCATTCGTATAGAGTGGTAACAGAGAAGACGATTTGTTTCCTGTGAGTAGAAGTTCTTACAATCAGAAGGGATCGTCTGTTGGTTCTGATGTTGGGTCACCATACACCGAAAAACCACCCAATCATCATGTGCAAGTACGATATATTACTATCTTTCGCTATCAATTTTGTATATGTTCAAATTATATATTTACTCAATATGAAATGTCTTTCTCTAGTTTTCTCAGATAGTCGAGAATACAAAAACATTGAAGGTGATGAGTTTTTGTGCAGAGGCTCAGGAATAAAATAAGTGAAAGAATAAGAACCCTGTGGACACTTGTTCCCAACTACAGCAAGGTGATGACAAAATTTGTTTTTGTTGTTTTTTGGGGTCTATTTTTTTTCTTTTCCCCTTTCTGTTTTGGAACTAAACTTACATCAACTACAGAGAGAGAAAGCAAGTATTCTAGGTGATGAAATTGAGTATATCAAATTTCTGCAAATTCAAGTCCATGTATTTCTGTTTATCATAGTAGTACCTGAGTTAATAAATGTAGTATTCTTTCCAACTTCTTCTTGTTGGTTGTTGGTTGTCATTTTATTTTATTTTGTTTCAGGCCTTGACACTTCTCGCTGATTATCAGGATACAAAAGACGCTTCCTCTGAGACATGGAGCAAACATGCCCTTGGTCAGATTGTTTCAAGAATCAGGCTTTCTCATTCCAAAAAGTGCTCGCTTAGCGTTCTCTCATCCCTAGATGTTTTCTTCTTGTTTCCTTTGTTAACTGCACCTAGTGAGCATCCTGTCTACAGGCGTAGTGCAAGTTTGTTATAAGATAGGTGTTGGATCTTTAGTCAACATTGACAAGTAAGCTGGTCAACATATTGACAAATTGCAATTTATAAAAAAAGTTTTCATCTTGTTTCTACTCATGTCCTTTTTTGATAAAACCAGTGCACTTCCGATACAGTAATCACTTTTAAATCTTATGTGGTAGCTTCTAACACTTGTCTATTCCATCCTCTCTCAATGCAGGGCTGAAGTTTGTATGTAAATGATGAATTTTGCATTCACTGTTAATTACTAGATGAGATACTCTTTAGCAACACTCCTCTTTTCTAATGGGTACCAACTAGATTTACCAAAACATTGGCTGAAAATTTTGCAACAGAATCCATAGGGGTAAAAAAGTCATCATCAAGATTTCTTTTTGGGTACGAATATAAGCTTAAGCACATCAAGATGCCCTTCACTTCTCACTTCTTATTGCTTTCTATGCCTTTTGAAAATCTGGGCATCATCGATCCGGTGTCCATAAATAAAACTTTCCATCAGAAGCTTTTCACTATTCTTTTGCTCATGCATCAAGAAAGTTGATGTTGGATAGTTTATTATTATATTATTATCTAGTTGTCATTCTATTCCATCCAACGAACAAGTTCCTGAATTTATCCAATATTTTGATTTAAGTTATAACAAATGTTGTTGAAATGAAACATGGAACTTTGGCTTTAGTTGATGAAAACCTTTCAAGTGTTGTCATTGGTACTCGTGATCAATGCTTCAGGTTTGTTATTAATTTTTATTAATTTCTTTACTTACGGCAATCAGCTTCAGGAACCAAAGGTGGTTCAAGTGGGTCCCCAGTCGTTGATTGGCAAGGACGAGTTGTTGCCTTAAATGCTGGAAGCAAATCTTCAAGTGCTTTAACATTCTTCTTACCTTTAGAACGAGTAACTATACTATATAATCTTTTATCCTTATATCCACTTCAAATTTTCAGTCTTTTTCACATGGTTATGCATTGATACATGTGCTTTATACATGTACAGGTGGTTCGGCTCTAAATTTCTTACAGAAGGGAAAATATTCATTTCAAGATAAATGGGAAGCTGTTACAATACCACGTGGCACCCTTCAGACAACATTTATCCACAAAGGAGTCGATGAAACCAGTAGACTCAGTCTTCAAAATCAAACAGAGCAGTTAGTTCGCCTTGCATCTCCTCTAAATTTCTTGCAGCTTCAACCTTCAAGTATGTTAACTAGGTTTTAATTCTTTCTCTTTCTTGTGGTTTTAAGGTAGCAGCCACTACTTTTGATTGGATCATCATCACTTCACCTGAATCCGAGATAGAGAAGGAGATGGATATTGAGAAGATGGATGATGAAACTGAGTCTCCAGAGTAGAAAGAGGAGCATGGGCTAGGGCTACATACTGTTGATATATTGATGGAAGAAAATGCAAATGGTGATGATGTAAATCAATGTAATGAAAAAGATGAAGATGCTTCAGAGGCTGAAAATGAACTTGTAAGTATCTAATCTACTGGTTTCTTGATCCTTGTAACTTTTTATTCAAACTTTTTACTGATTCTTTTGGAGTTAATTGTAGGTAGGAGTTGTCTTTGATGAGAATTTATTGGAACTTCTGGAGTTAGCAATGTCATCAAACACAACTGAAACTATGAAAAGAGCTAGAGAACTGATGGAATTGGGAGTTTACCCTATGGTCCTCATGTCTCAAATGGCTTCACTTATTATGGACATTATTGTTGGAACATATCAAGTAATTTAAGCTAGTGCTAACTCATTGTTTGATGGTAGAAGCTGTAAGATCTTCTCAACTTTTTTCTTTATTATTATATTTTGATTGCTATAAACTGAAACTATGGATAGGTAAATGAAACTAGTTGCTAATTCTTGCGTTTAAAATTGGGCTTGATATTCTAGCACAAACAATCCAGGTGTCTCCTAGTTATTAAAGTTATATTTGTAAACATATATATATATATATATATATATATATATATATATATATATATATATATAATACAAGGGCATTTCAATCATTATACCCCCATAAAAGTTTTTAAAAAAGATAGGTAACTATTTGTTGTGCTTAATTTATGGATTGATAACATTACAAAAATCATATCTCATAGTATTTTCAAATATACACTTCTCCTTTTGTCTTACAATTGTTATATTGAATGTTCAAGATGATTTAGATAGCATAACTCGTTTTCTAATACTAGCAAGAGAACCTATAATCCTAGGAATTGACAAGCCCCATAAGGTAAAAAAAAAGATAATTTATTTTATTGTATTTTAAATCAAATTATCAAATCATATATCAACTACCCAAACAATATTCAAATTTTATTTTATCCCCTCAATTTTGCAGACGAGCATTGTGTTTACATTAGAAGATGGCCCTAGGGTCTTGTTCAATGCTTTAGCTGTGTTTACTCTAAGGGAGATCAACTTATCAAAAGTAAGTTATTTTTTTCACCCTTTTATTTAATATTTTTGTGATTGAATGAAAGTCTTAATGAAAGTAATTGACAACTCTTTTTCTGTAAATGATGTTGTGATTGTGGGACAAGTGTTGTGTTTTTCTTTGTTGCTAGGTAACCTTCTCAACAATAGAATTCTACTTAAACAGGTGAGTAATCAAGACTAAGCGAGACTTGTAATCAAGTTTGGCATTCCTTTCCAGTAAGAAACAGAGTTGTATGAATATTTGTTAGTTTTATAGGAATGTATAACCCATGTTAGTAATGTATTATTTTTGTTTAACATTTGAACGATTCTTTGTATGATATTATAATTTGTGCAATTTCTTTTATTTTTTTAGTATGAAATTTTATTTTATATTATGCAATGGATTGTTTTTTTTTTTTTTTTGTATATGATATTTTATTTCTATTATGAGAAATTAAATGCAAATTTAATTCAGAAATTAATAAATACCCCCATTGATTCAAATCAAGAAGAAGAGAAGAACAGGAGACTGCCGGAACAGTGCCCATTTACGTACCATTTGATTATCGATCGAAGCAATTCTCCCACCTAGACCAAAGACCCACCGAGTACCCACGTCTACGTCGCTGCTGCTGCCCGCGATGCCTCCCAGAATCCCTTCGATTTCCTTTCCCCCTTCGCACCCCGCAGCCAAACGAGAAGAAGAAAGCTCACTTGTTTGTTCCCATCGTCGTTGCTTCGGTCTCGTCAAACCCCGGAGATACCCTCTTCGCCATCGATCAGAAAGAAACCGACGAAGAGCACCTGCTAGATTTCGTCTACCTTTATTCACTACTTCTGTTCGTCTTCCGACGCAGCCTTCGTTCCATATATGTCCCTTAACCTGATCAACATCCTTATCCTTCCGTCCCCTTCACGATTTCACCCCCGAAACCAACATCAGCGCCACTGACATCTTTTTCGTTTTCCCCTCTTCGCTTTGTTTGATTTCAGTCGTTTATTCCCATTCCAATCGCCCTTGCTTCTATACCCGATTGAAGAAATGGAACGGGGCTTATAAGCCCTAACCTTTTCATTAAATGGATCACGGTAGGAGCTCCATCACAGAAAAATGGGTTCCCGGTTTGACATGGTTAAAGTCAAAGATAACTTAAATTTAAATGCAAATTACTCAAAACCTACCCTCGTTTGACAAATACTTTGCAAAATCAGTCCAAACCCCAATTCTTGGATCCATTTGTTCAAAACAACCCCTCCTATGAAATTATTTTTATCAAATCAATCCGACTTCAGTTAATTAAAATACCAAAACAGCCCCTATAGATTAGCAAAATTACGAAACAACCCCTATAGTGTAAATTTATTAGGAAATTATCCCAAAAGTATTTCAAAGTTCATGAAATATCCAGTTCACACAACAAATACTACATTATACAAAGTTTTATGATTTTTATGTGAAATTGCATATTATAACAAGTACGTTATGAAACTGTGTAGTATTTCAAGGATTCAAAGTTATTATTAAACATGTTTATTAGTCAGAAGTATTGTGACATCCCCAAAATCTCGGTTAGAAAAGACCGATTTTCATTTATGCTTTTAAAATAAATTCAGAGTAAATCCTTTTGATTTGAAAGAGTTGCGGAATTTGTTCCCAAAAACAAAACATGATAAAACAATGTTTACCAAAGCATTTCATAAAAGAAATGTATTTTTCATTATATAATCAAAACTCGGGGTGTCATGTTCCGATATAGACCAATAAGCATAAACGATAATATTACAAGTCATTCAACAAATATATACATATACAGACTTGTAAACAAAACAACTTGATGGTTCATCCATCTTACGCCCTTGTGCCACTTCCTGGAATACGAATAAAACTGAGTGGGTCAGGCTTAGGAGCCTGGTGAGCATATAGGGTTTTCAACCCACAATAAATCATTAAATTAATTATTATCAACCAACAAACCCATTCCCGTTATTCTCACTTTACATCCCTAAAATAACTAACACAAGGGACCTAATCTAAGAATATTTTCATCGGGGTGACAACACATGCTACGGGGGTTCCTCAGCAATATAAGTCAAATAAGCCAACCATGAGGGGGATGGAATACAGCGAATGAACACCCAAGTTCATTAACACCTACAGGTTATGAGCCTGCTAGCGTTCCACTAGACTGTCTAGAAAAGTCTGTGGTCGTCATCTAAATTCTGCTAGATGACTGGATCAAAATGTGACATCCCCAAAATCACGGCCAGAAAAAACCGATTTTGTTTATGCTTTATAAAAATCAGAGTACTTCATTTTATAAAAATGCTGCGGAATTTGTTTCCCAGAAAAACATGGTAAATACGTTATTAAAACATTTTCGAAGAAACGTATTTATTTCATTTTAAAACGTTTGGGATGTCATCGTTAATACAGAAACATAAGCATAAACAGAACTTACAATTATTTACACTAGTGATCTACATCTCTTTAAATCTCTCAGTGTATTGTGACTTCATATCAACACCTGTGATATAAATAAACTGAGTGGGTCAGGTTGGGAAACCTTGTGAGCACATAGGGTTTTCAACCCACAATAATATAATTATTATTTTTAAACATCAAACAATCAACCCAATTACCCATTCCCGTTATCCTCACATTACGTCCCTAAAACATCTAACACAAGGGACCTAGTCAAAGGACTATCATTGGGATGGAGTATACCTGGTGAGCACACAGTTCACACAGTTCGAATAAACACACAGCTCGAACAAACACACAGTTCAGTTAAACACACAGTTCGAATAAACACCTACAGGTTGCGAGCCTGCTAGTGTTCCACTGGACCGTCTAGAATAGTCCGTGGTCGTCATCTATACTCCGCTAGATGACTAGATCATCAAGAACATCTATAACGAGGCCTCTCATTATTTCATTTTATCACACAGCAACTAATACGTCTACCCATGTTTTACCCAACACATTTTGTAGATATAAAATACATATACAGTTTAAATCATTGAAAACATGTATAAAACGTTCATCCAGCATAGATAGCAAGTATACAGATAATATACACACACAGCACGTAATTTATATAAAATACTTCATATCTATTTGTAAGCTGAAAGTAACTATACACTCACCTGATTAGGTGGTGACTCAGCACTCGGACAGCGCTTCGATACTCTCACAACGATTTTCCTTCGATAAAACCTAGTATCGATGCCACTAGGGTTTAGTCTAATGATAACCGCAAAAAATTAATTGTCTGACTATTATTATTATTATATAAGCATAAATAACACTCAATATAACTCATAATAATATCCCAAATAATTATTTTAAGGACCTAATAACATTCCTATATTAAAACATAAGCTAAACTAAAGATAGGTTAGGCGTAGCTCACTTACAACGGGTTTTCTTGAAAACCGGGCTTCACTGGAGCAGCGTTCTCGAGCCGAAAGACTCTTTTCTCGGGACTCCGGGAGCCTTGGGGCTTCCTTCGGGTGCTAGGGGGTTTACCTAGGCTTTTAGGGGGGGTTAGGGAGCCTAGAGAGAGAGAGTTTAGAGAGAGAAAGAAGAGGGGTGAGGGGTGAGGAAATGAGGGAACCCGACACCTCTATTTATAGGGGTGGAATCTGATGGACTCGCCGAGTAGGGGGGACCTACTCGCCGAGTTGGTCCATGTGGTGGCCTTCTGGTGGTGCCACGTGTCCAATTCTGGTGGTGCCACGTCACCCCCTATCGCGTATCAGCCCTCAAACTTAGAAAAATCATAACTTTCGCATACGAGCTCCGTTTTCGACGTTCTTTATATCCACGCGTAGGTAAAATCAAGATCTACAACTTTCGTTTAGACTCTGTCGGCTAATTCTCAACCGATCTCAAATTTAACAGTAGGAGGCGTTTAGACTGTTAAATGACCGCGAGGAGTTCATAACTCCTTCATACGGACTCCGTTTTCATCTGTCTTTTTACCGTTGAGTTCCTATTAATGAGATCTTCAACTCTCATTTAGGTCACGTAAGCCAAAAACTGCTCGAACTAAAATTCGAGTTTCAGGTCGTGCACTGCTAAGCCGAATCTTAGAAAAATCATAACTTCTTCATACGAAGTCAGATTTGGGTGTTCTTTTTATCGATGTTCTTAGTTTAACATATTCTACAACTTTTGTTTAGATTGCTAAGGCTAAAAAGTCTTCTACCGTAAATTCACTATTTACGTCTCCCGGTGCCGTGCCGGTTTTGCCGTAAAACTTCGGCGGGCCATAACTTCTTCGTTATAACTCGGATTTCGGCGTTCTTTATATGTACGGAAACCTTGTGACATATTCTACAACTTGGTTGAGATTATTTTATTCTAAATAATCTTTTGTCGAAAAGTCATTTTCGATCTCTATTGCCTCTAAATTGACTAGCCCGGATCTGCGGGCGTTACACAAAACAACAACGAGGCCTCTCATCTGTTTATTACACACCAATTATCTACCCATGTTGTACCCAACATATTAGTAGATAAAAACATACATTTTTATACATATTTTCAAAACCTGTATAGCATGCTTGATCAATACATTTTCCATATAACAGATGAGGCACACACACATAACACATATGTCATATAGAAATAATTAGATCTGTTAGATAGAAGAAAGTGAATATACATTCACACATATAACAAGAAAATATACACATAACACGTGTCTCGTATAAAATACTTCATAATTATACGTTAGGAGAAAGTAACAACGCACTCACACGTATAAGCAACAATATACTTAATACACTCAAACCATACTTGTATTATTATTGCGTTTATGAAAGGTAGTATACACTCACTTGATCAGAAGATGATCGGACAACACTATGACTTGCAAAAGTATTAATCCTCAGCAGATCTGGAAGACCTCTACAAAAATCGAACTTCTCGCGGGTAGAGCTTCGGCTCGGAAACCGCACTTCTCGGGATCTTCGGGATCTCGGGACTTGCTTCGGGACTCGGGAATATTACCGGGGCTTCGGGGTATTTCTGGCACACAAATCGAGGCAAAACGGGAGAGAGAATGGAGAAAAATAGCAAAGAAACTCGGTAGCCTCGCATCCTATTTATAGGAGGCTGGAACCTCCTCGTACGCGGGGCGTACTGCTCCGAAATCGTAAGCGCATGCGTCATCCGAAGTCCTTGAGTTTAAATGTCGACATCTTCGCTGTACGCGG